TATCTTAACCATTCTATCATTTGTAGAAGCATTATCAAGTGTAATTGTAAATGCTTTTTTTTTCAAGACCCCACCCACATATCATTTTTTCACAAACTTAAAGATAGACTCAACATCATCAGGAGGAGGAAAACGAAGAAAATTAAGTATTTTAGACTGAAGTTTCAAGTTATTATCAACACAATGAGCAGTGAGGGCAAAATAAGAACGTGAAGTGCAGGCAAACCAAGCATCACATGTAAAATAAACACGACTTGAGACAAAATGCATTGAATGAAGTATTAATTTTTATGTTTTTCATGCTCCAACATGCAATAATTAGTAACAGTATATCTAGATATATCCTTAACAGAAGAATTAAGGTAATGATGTAAATCCCTAATTTTTTTCATGCTTAACAATACTATATGCATAATCATGACACGGAATAGCCTCAGCAAACAACTCGCATTATTATTTTTTGATCAAAAGAAACTATACTACCAGGATTTTTAGCAAGAAAATTCTTATATGCTTGGCATTTCTTAGTAAGCCTTCTAAGGTTAGATGTACCAATATAAGAATTAGCTTTATTCCTTTTCACTTTGTAATACTTACACTCGACATAAACATAACCATCATCAGATTTGGTGAACGTGTAGTGGATCCAAACAAGAGAGGTTTTTCTCCCAAATTCAGATAAACAGTGGACTTCCTCTTAGAGGATTTATTTATATCAACTGCTTTGGACAGTATATCATTTACATCCCATTGTAAAAAAAAATTAGGGTTAGTATGGTAAAAAATAAAACTTGATGAAGCTACAAACAAAGGCACCTAACAACTTTATACAACCAATCCGAATGAACAACCAACAACACAAACAAGGACTATAGGGAAACAAATAAACAGTAGCTACAAAGTACAATATATTTACCTCTTTCAGAATGTTCTTCTTTTGATTTGTTGGGTTTTCTCCTACAAAAGAAATGAATAATATATTAATGACCAATATTAAATTAAAAAAACAAAATAATAAAATATTAAACATACCTGGATAATTCAACTCGTAAGAAAGGTTGTGCATGAAGCCCTTGAAAAAAATAAAGGATTTGAAAAGCAACAGAGACGAAAGAAGAGGAAGATCATGAAGAACAGTTGTGGTTACAGTAAAAGAAAAGATACATAAAGTGAAGATGCTCGGTTAGGGTTTTTTAGGTTTAGGTTTGAATTTGGGTTTGGATTCAAGTTTGGGTTTGGGTTCGAATTCAGGTTCAGATTCGGGTTTGGTTTTGGGTTCATGTTTGGGTTTGGGTTCAAGTTTAGGGTTTGAGTTTAAGTTTAAGGTTTAAATTCAAGGTTTGAGTTGGGGTTGGGTTATAGAAGATGAATTGGTATTAGGGTTTGGGTTTGATCAAAGAAAACAAATTGATTTTAGAGTTTAGGTGTTTGTCAGGATCAAAGAATGGTTTGGGAAAGAACAAGGATGAATTGTTGCTTGGGTTTGGGGTTTTATTTGAAAAAATAGGAGATGGTATGTGTTTTGGTGTTTATGAAGATCAACGGATGATTTTTGTGAAGAACAAATATGAACTGGGATGAATATGGATGAACATGTGAGAAAATTTTGGGTGTTTGATAAAAAAAATAAGAAATCGTATGGGTTTTGGTGTTTATGAAGATCAAATGAGGGTTTTGATATGAACAAGGATGAACAAGTTAAGAAATTTCATGTGTTTGATCCAAAAAACATAAAAATGTTTGGAATTTGGTGTTTTTGAAGATCAAATGAAGGATTTTTTTCAAAGAACAATGAAGAACACAGATGAACTTCTAGAGAGAAGGCAGAGAATTTTGAGAGAATCAGAGAGTTAGAGAGAGAGAGAGAGCAAAATGGGAGAATGAATAGAAAACTAGAAAATGAGAAAAAAAATTACCTTATATAGTCGCTCGGTTTGGGTCGGGTTCAAGATCCGCTTGTTTTTGAATTTCGTCTCGCATTGTACTATTGTCCCTTTGTTTTGATTTTATTCAATTTAGTCCAACTTTAAGGATTCAATTTAATCTTTATATTTTAAATTATTTCAATTTCATCCCTATATAATTTATATTAATAAACTATTTATAAATAATATTAAAATAATTATATATTATAATTAATATTAATATAATTAATATAATATTAACTTATATTAATAATATAGTTTATAATTTGTAATTAATATTAATATAAAATATAGTCTATAAAATTAATAATAATGTTATAAATTATATAGTATAGTTTATAAGCTATAGTTAATATAATTAATATTAATATAATAGTTAATAAACTATATACTATATTAATATAAATTATAGTTAAGATAATTAACATTAATATAAACTATATAGTACATTAATATAAATTATAGTTCATAAATTATATACTCTAGGTTATAAAGTATAAACTATTGTTTATAAACTATAGGTTACATATATAGTTTATATAACATATAAATAGATGGTATATATACATATACTATAGGTTACATATTAACTATTGTTTATGCATAGTGTTTAGGGTTTAGGGTTTAGAATTTCTATAAACTATATACTTTATTACTTTATATAGTTTATGCATAGTGTTTCTATAAACTATATAAGTAATTTACTTTATATGGTTTATATATATAGGCTATATATATAGTTTATATATACTATACATAGTTTATACATACATGTACTATAAGTTACATATATAGTTTATATGTATACATATACTATAGGTTACATACATTAACTATTGTTTATAGACTATTTTAATGTTAATATAATTTATATAAACTATTGTTTATATAAACTATATGTGAATTATCAACTGTGTCTATACATATATAGTTTATAAAGTTTAGGGTTTAGTGTTTTTATAAACTATATACTTTATTACTTTATATAGTTTATGCATAGTGTTTATATAAATTATATAATTTATATAGTTTATAAATTATAATTTATATTAATATAGTATATATATGTATGAATAACTAATATAAATAATCTATAGATTATATATAATGTAAGTTTATATATAAACTATATATTTATATTACAAACTATATAGTTATTATAATCTATATATATAATTTATATTAATTATGTATATGTATATATATATATACTATATTAATATAAATTATAGTTTATAAACTATATACTTTTTATAGTTTATACATATATAGTTTATATACATAGTTTATATATATATAGTTCATAAACATAATTTATATATATAGCTTATATAACTATATAGTTTGTAATAAATAAGTTTTATATATATAGGTTTATATATAAACTTACATTATATATATAATATATTTTTTTTCAATTTTTTAAATGAAGGCAATTTACTATATTTTTCATTATTTCTTCATATTTTGCATTTATTACTATTTAATCCTTTTGTGTTTTTTAATTTATTTCAATTTTAAGTCGTTAACTTTTATATGTATTCAATTTAGTCCTTAAATTTATATTTGCATCTTCATTTATTGTTAGTTGTTATTTTTATTTTTGTAACTGGCCCATAACTTTTTAAATGGGTATAATTTAGTCCTTTTTATATTAATTTAAACCTCACATTTTAAATTTATTTCAATTTGGTCCCTTACCTATGTGTGTTGTTTAATTTATATTTTAAAATTTTATTTGTAATTTTACATTTCTTCAATTTTGTCCTTAAATTTATATTTTTTTACAAAATTGATCCATGATTTTTTTTTGTAATTTACTCGAAATCATATATAATTACAACTTGCAATTCAACAATCACAAAAGATGGCAAAATAATTAATCAAAAAATAAAAACGACCCGACCTGAACTCAATCTGTATCCGGCAAACATCCGACCATAATTTTATCTGTCAATGATGTGACTCGATCTGAACGAGATCCGACTGAAGTCCACCTGAACCTGAATTAACCTGGTCTTTATCGGACCTGAACTGTTTTGATCTGAACTGACGTCGATCCGAACTGAAAATGACCTGACCTGAACCTGACATGGATCTGGTGTCAAATCAACTTGAAAATGATCCGAATTGATTTAACATGTACCTGATCCGAGTCAAACCATCAATTTGACCTGACTTGACCTATACCCGATTTTACCTGACTTGCCAAGATCCGACTGAAACATGTCCGATTACATGATTTTACAGCCTTACCAACAAGTATGAGCATTTCATTCAGCATTTAAAGCTTCAGTGCTAAATGCATATAGCCAGTATTAGAGTAGGACTCGGGTGAGCATCTGGTACACGCATGGCTACGACTCCAAGAGTCCAACGGCATCATCCCGTATCGGTTCGTGTTGGCAACAAGTCGAATAGAAGAGGCTGTAGTTATTTAAAATAAATTGGGAATTGGATATTGTCGAGTCGGCTTAATTTACTTCACGCCCTGTATTTTGAGAATGGGACTCAATTCTGAAAATCAGGAGCCAGGGAAGGCATTAGCGCTTAAGAGTCTCTTTTGAATTTCCATCTGTGAAGACTGGGCTTGGATTAGTTTTAGTACGACTATGGCTCTAACGTACATATAATCCCTTTACTCATGATATATCATTTAAATTGGGCATCTTTTGCTCTTAATTTTTACCTATTTTGTTAATTTGGTCATAATTAGCTTTTTTTTCAATTAAATTTGATTTTCAATCTTTTAAAACGAATTAATTTTTTTTTTTTGTGAAAGTGCTAATTAAAATATTAAAATGTTTAACAAATTTAACGTGTAGTCTCCATGACGATCCACACGTACTTTATGGCACTATAAGACAAATGGTATAATGTTAACATGAAGTAAACATAAATTGTCATAGTAGGAATAATTTTATAAATAAGTTTTAAGAATTCTGAATATACTTTAAAATGAGTTTATAATAATTTTTAAGGAAAATGAAACATAGCATATGTCTCATGTTCAATCAATAAATCACGATTCATCACTAAATTAATTGATAAAATAAAAACTATTCGAGGCTTAGTTCTAAATTTATCTTATTCAATGCTAAAGAAATAAATTAAAATGCTCAATTTTACAGTCTGGTTTAACAAAAGTCCATCATCTTCAGCACATAGCCTTAAGAAACTGCAACTTTATGTATTTCAAACCAATTCTGCAAAACAGGAAATCAAACATCACGGGGCGAAAATCACGATATCATACGTACTTCAGATTCTGATACTTACATATCTTATTGAATGCGACAACGTCGCAACTCTGAACATACTCGTTGATCGGCTCCGCCGTCAGATGTTCCTCGATGAGGTCATCGACTGATACCAAATCATCCACTATAGTCAACATGATTTGCAGTTTCTTTATTCCGTAACCAACAGGCACAAGTTTAGCTGCCACATTAAAAGTACTTTGTTTCAGATGAAATACACCATGTTGCTATGATTTTGATTTCAAGATGAAAGAATCTGGAAAACTATGCAAGCCATTTCAGATGATTAAACACAACAGTAAAACTGTATCAGATTAACCACTAACAGGCTCCCCAATGCAGTCCTTCCATCTTCACACTTCTTACTGCTTCTTCGAGCTTCTTCATGTCGGTCTCATCATTCCATGGTTTTATATCCAACAATACCGAGGACTTGCCAGCTGCGAACAAGAACGATTGTCAAACAAGCTAGAAACACCTATGTAAAACCATGTTTTAATGCAACTCAAACTTGGGTGTTGAGTGTAAGATATGTAAATGTTGCAAGTATCTAACAAGTCTCAAGAAAATCATGCTCTTGTACCCATGTCCGGATATATGTTGGCAGTGATGGAACGAGGGGGCGGTCTCCTTCCTAAAAATTTCAAAATCCTAAATATTTCCTATTGATAATTTGTTTTTGCCCCCTCTACAAAATTATAAGCTCAGCCTCCTAACATAAAATTATGTATCCACTGCATGTTGGACAAGGGAAAAATAACAAATTGGAGGAACAGGGCCACATTTGATGATTAAAAAGAAAGGCTTACATTCTTTTTTCTTGCCAGAGGCCTTCACTGCAGCCGCACGTTCTTCAGAAGCCTTCTTTTCCTCCTCAGTCTCTTCACCAAACAGATCTACATCATCGTCGTCTTCATCTTCAGCAGTTGTGGCCTGCGCATGTAACATTTTTGAGCAAATTAGAACACGATTGAATAGTCTACTGATCCAAAATTCAAACAACATACAAGCAAAGACAAACTTGCCTTGGAATCCTCAGCTGGAGGAGTGGCAACGGCCTCTGCGGGAACAAATCCCTCGATAACCACACCACGCCCTTCACCAGTAACACCGCTAAAATAACAAATAACAGCCAAGTTCTATTAAACATCCAAATCACACATTTCCATCAACTTAAATGCTTAAAAGAGGTAGTAAATGAAACTGAATCATATGAGGTGTTTGAGAAAATAATTCTTCCAATACTTTTGTTTAAAAGAGGGAAAACTTACGAGATCCTCAAAAGAGCATCGATGTGGTTGTACCATCGGGAAACATTGACATAGTTAGAAGATGGAGCAGCTGGAAGAGCAGCGTAGACGGTGATATCATCCTTGGAGGCTTGATATCTGAAAAAAAATCAACAAAGAAAGAACAAACCAATAAGGCTCAAAGAGAAACAACCATAAAAAAAGTGATTTTGGGAAAATTACCCAGAGATGTAACTGCGAGTAAGGAGGTACTCATCAAGTTTATTCAAGCCAGCAGCAGAGTTCAAGTCGTTGAACGTGATAGCCATAGAGGAAGGTATATCACTTGTTTCTGAAATTAAATTAAAAATGAAATACTGTTTCAAGCAATACCCAAAATCAAATGGAAGAGTCAAGGATTGAATACGAAAGATCTGATTGAAATGAATTTCATCTCCCTGAAGAAATGAACATCTAAATCTTACCGCCAATTAACAGTTACAGTTACACTGCAGGAACTCGATTGAGAATTGGAGACGTTTCTCGTGTTTTGTGATATTATAGCTACTTTCGCGGCATGAAAATGAACATAATACCTAAAATAACAGTGTATATTTTTTTTAATAATTGGGTGTGTTCAAAACTTTTTTAATCATCAAATAAATAAATAAATATATATATAAAAGACATAATTGCCTGAATTTATTATCTCAATACTTTACTAACTAAAATAATCTCTATACTTAAACATGATATAGTTGATAAATGTTTTTTTATATAAAATTTTAGGTAAACTATTTATTTTCATATTTGTGTATTTTTATTCATTACATTTAAAAGTTTTTAATAATTTTATCATTCATGTTATTGATTCAATAGATTTTTATCATTTACATTATCGATTACTATATTTTAATTACTAAATTATTAACTTATGCTAGATTGATGATGTGATGCGATAGTTAAAAAAACTTAATTTCTAATATTATTAATTTGACTTTAAACTTTAATGAAATATCATTTTAATTTCTAGACTTTAGATAAAAAATTAATTGAAACTTGAATTAAATCGAAGTCTTCCATCACCCATCACCGCTTATCACCGTCATCGTTGAGTCACCGATTAGCATCGACTTTCATCTTCGTCGACAATTTTATTGGGCCCCAAAATTTCATTTCACTCTTTGACCTCATGAACACAAATCATATGTCTATTTTATCAAAGAAAAATCTCGAGCTCAATCAATCTAACTTAATATCCTTTGACTTTCTTTAAAATTAAATTATACTATTAAATTTATATCAATATTCTTTTAAAAATAACAATATAAAAAATTATATCTATATCTTAATCAAATTTAGTTTATAACATTATTATGCTATAATTTTTATTATATTTATAATATTAAAAAATCTACCAATAATCATTTGGTCTAATGAGATGAAGAACTATATCTCTTATGCAAGGTCAGAGATTCGAATCTTAACGATTGCGAATGGAGTAAACTGGGTTGAAAGGGTCACTCTTATCTCCGTAGTACCCGATCCGAATTAGTTGATCAATAAATCGAGTACAGTGGTTATACCAAAAAAATTATCTAATCACGTAAAAAAATAACTAGAGTGAAATGAACACCTTGGCTCACAATATCTATGAGGCAGATTTAACCCTAATTATAAATGGATTTAGGTATCAAATGGAAAGGTAGTAATAATCTTTTGCGTATATACATACACGTGTGTTTGTGTTCGGGGAATTACTCATTTAGTACCTAAACTATCGATTTTGATTTATTTTAGTACATAAACTTTTAAGTTTTTCAAAACCAAATATAACATTTAGTTTTTGTTTTATTTTAGTACCGCACCATTAACAACTTAAAGGTTGATTTGCACGTGACACTTATTTTATGGATAATTTGCATCATTAATAACTCAACTAGCTTCCTACTTCTATTTTGTTCAATAGAGTTTAATTTTTTTATTTTATTACTTATCTTTCAAATTACTCCTAGTTTAATCACTCTAACTTTCAAATTTATTTTTAAATTATATATTAATAAAATAATAATAATAGAAAATGTCATGTCACAAAAATTATTAATAAAATGAATTAGAGTGATTAAAATAGGAACAATTTGAAAGTTAAATAGTTAAATTGATTTTTTTAAATTTAGTACCAAAATATGAGTGAGAAGATATTTGAGTGATAAATAATGTAATTTATCCATAAAAATGCAGTGTCGTTAATAGTTAGTGATGAATGATGTAATTTATCTATAAAAATGCAGTGTCGTTAAGTTTTTTTAACGACAATGTACTAAAATGAAACAAAAACTAAACATTAAGTATAATTTTGAAAAAATTGAAAGTTTGGGTATTAAAACGAACCAAAACTTATAATTTAGGTACTAAACGCATAATTTGCCCTTTATATATATTTAGTTAGAATTTACGTACACAATATAAAGTAATTTTAGTTTTACACAGATTTAAAATTATTGGATGAGTGAAAATAGATAGGTCAGATTAACATAGTATTTTTTTCTAATAAATATATTCTTAGTTCCTACTGTTAATCTGAATCGTCTATTTTCTGTAACATCCGCAATACCGGGTTAGTGACCAAATTGTAAAGTTTCAGAATTTGGTGACTAAAGTAGAAGAATGAAAGAATTCAATGATTATTTGAATATATATATTGAAGGTTATTTGGTAATTATTAAAGGAAATTAAGGGTATTATGGTCATTTGACCAGAAAGATTTTTATAATTTTTTTAAGGTAATATAAACGTGGGACATTTGAGAAGTATCCAGAGTTCTCTGCTCCTTTCTTCTTCTTCATACGTGGGAGAGCAAGGCAAAGGTAAGTTTAATTTTAGTTGGTTAATTCTGGAGTTTTAAGCTTAGTTTTGATTCTTTGGGTATTAAATAAGCTTAAGGAAAGCTTATATGGGATTTAAACAATAAGATAAAGGAATTATGAAGGAATTTGCAATATGAGTTTTAAGATGAAATTTTGATATGGTATGGTTGTTGAAGTTTTAGGGATGAATTTGACTTGTCATCAATCTAATTAAGAAGTATGAAGTGTTAGAATTGGAATTAGAACACATTGAAAATTTGGTATGATTTTTTAATCTCATATGGAAGATAGGATTTTGAGGTTTAAGATGAAATAAATGAATATAGATTGGTTTAAGTATGTGTACTAGAGTTAAGAATGAAAAGGGGATGATATATGAAGTGTTTGAGTGGAAATGAAGTAATTTTCGGGTTGAAAATATGATTTCTGGGCAAGGGGAATCGATACCCATTCAAGGGGAACCGATACCCCTTCAAACGAACAACATTTCCAGAATGTCTGTAGGGAATCGATACCCCCATAGTAGGGAACCGATTCCCCTAAAGGAAATTGTGAATATGGATTTAATAAGTCGTTTAAGTTGCTAGTATCCAATTACAGGTGTAGGTATCTAATGATTGCCTCGAAATGTACATTTATGTAGATTCTACGCATAAAGCAATTCCGGAACGTTTGGCAAGTAAGATTGATCAAGGGAAAGATAAGAGATTGGAATTGACTAGTGAGGCCAGGTGAGTGCATATTCAATAGTATATGATGTGCGATGGGAATAAGACTTGCGATGAGTCTATTTCCTGAAGTTACATATGAATTCATGATTAAAGGCATGAGTTGAATATGCATGTATGTATGCTTGATTATATGGATTGATCTGTTCTTTTATGTGTTAAGTGATAAAGTATAAGTGATTACATAAGAAAGGTTATGAATTATATGAGTTATAAACTATGTGATCATAGTAAAATAGAATTATATTATAATGAGAAGTGAAAAAGCTAGATAATATTGATCTATAGGATGATGTGAGAATAGTACACTAACTGGGAGATTTGAACATAAATATGAACATATAAGATAAGCTAGATGGGAAAGATTCATATGTTTAAATAAAACTATAACACATGGGTTTATGATAAAAATTTATGAAGCTATATGAGAAGATTATAGAGTTATATGAAATTGAATAAGTAAACATATTAGATTATATATATAAAGAAATAATAGAAGTGAGATGTGTTTATAAGTCTGATATAGATGAATATGAATATGAATTATAAGAGTGCTATAGAATGATATTAGGATAAATCTTGAGAATATATATATGTATATAGATGGATATGAAATGAAATGAGTTATATGAATACCTAATTATGTGATGAAAGGGTGGATTACCTGAACATGTGTATATATATATATATATATATTTCTAAGAGAAGGCATAGGATTAAGATATAAGCAATGTGACTATAAGTATGTGCTCTAAGTGATATGACTTATAGGTATTTCTATTTAATGTTACATAATATGTTGTATGTTAAAGGAATTATGTGATGGTATAAGAATTGATATGAATATATATGTGAAAACAAGTATATGTTATGAGAAGACCTATGCTTATAAGCTACTGAAAGTGTTCTAAGTGTTCCTATCTGTTATATGAAGTATATGATCATATGTGAACAAGATATGATGAGTATGTGTACATGAATAAATGTGGTTGGGTGAGAAATGATAGAAATTATATGAAAACGTGTATAGGTGAATTAGCTTTGTAATTAGGTAAATATATGAAATCATAACTATGATTATGTGATGTGAAAGTAATCTATGATTATATGTTATATGAGTACAAGAACATGAGATATGTGACATGTGAATTATATGGAAATGATCTACATGTAAGTGAACTATGTGACTATGTGATAATATGAAAAGAAGCTATGTGATACGTGATATGTGACATGGAATTACATGTTTATGTGAATATTTGAAATGAAATAAATAATAATGCCCATGTTATGTGTCATGAGAGCTAGGGGTATAGTTGGCATGCCAAGAGTCGAGGGTCTACGCGGTCCTTCGGGACATATGTATATTCTTTGGAACATGTGTGAAGTCTTGAAAGACACTATATGATCCCTAGCATATGTATATGATCTTAAGGAATTCTATGTGGTCCTTATGGACATTATATGGCACTACGGTGCAATTCTACGCGGTCCTTCGGGATATATATATATTCTGTGGAACATGTGTGAAGTCTTGAGAGACACATACTTGATCCCTAGCATATGTATATGATTCTTAAGGAATTCTATGTGGTCCTTATGGACATCATTATATGGCACTACGGTGCAATTCTACGCGGCACTTCGGTGCAATTATACGAGCTGTGGTGACAGCATTAGTGCACAACCTCTATAGACTCACATATCGATAGTTCTCACATATGTACATGGGCTAATCCAGAGATATGAACAAATATATGTTAGTGGTATGATAAATGCTATAGAAATGATATGATGTTGTGTGTGGATAGAGTTTGATTGAAAAAGTATGTGATTACATGATAAACTGTAATGATGAATTATGTGTATGCATGGATTACTGTAATTAATCTGATATGATTTATACGATATGAAAAATGCATGGAATTGCAATAACATGATAGAACAGAACATGCATGTATCGGTATATGTTATAAGG